AAATCATCCACAGCAATTTTATAGAGAATTCAATTAGTTTTAATTTAAGCCTAATTACGTTAAGATCAAATTGAAATAACCAAAGTTATAAGGCAAAATCATATCAAAAGACTTTAAAGCTTGGCAGCTGCAAAACTATTGAAGCTACATTAAAGTCATATATAGGAAATTTGTATAAAATTCAAGTACCTTTAATTTAAGCCTAATTACGTTAAGATTGAGTTACAATTAACAAAGTTGTGAGGCAAAATGATTTTCCCTAATTTAGTTAAATTTCCACATTTTTTCCTGGAGAAATTTTTCACTGGAAAATTTTGAAATTTTCCTATAATGAGCTTTACACTTTCCTCTCTTTCCTGGAAAAATTTCAAAATTTACCCTTTGCCAGTTTTCCAGAAAAAAATTAAAATGCAAGAGGTGAATTTTCCTTAATTTTGCTTAAATAAGTCAATTTTCTGGATTTTTTGCTGGAGTCATTTTCTATTGAAAAATGTTGAAATTTTCCTATAATGAGCTCCATACTTTCCTCTCTCTCGTGGAAAAATTTCGAAATTTTCCCTTTGCCAGTTTTTCAGAAAAAAATTAAAATGCAACAAGTGAATTTTTCTTAAATAAGTCAATTTTCTGGATTTTTTCCTGGAGTCATTTTCTATTGGAAAATTTTGAAATTCTCCTATAATGAGCTCCATACTTTCCTCTCTCTCGTGAAAAAATTTCGAAATTTTCCCTTTGCCAGTTTTCCAAAAAAAAGTTAAAATGCAAGAGGTGAATTTTTCTTAAATAAGTCCATTTTCCAGAATTTTTCCAGGAGTCATTTTTCATTGGAAAATTTTAAAATTTTCCTATAATGAGCTTTACACTTTCCTCTCTTTCCTGGAAAAATTTCAAAATTTAACCTTTGCCAGTTTTCCAGAAAAAAATTAAAATGCAAGAGGTGAATTTTCCTTAATTTTGCTTAAATAAGTCAATTTTCTGGATTTTTTCCTGGAGTCATTTTCTATTGGAAAATTTTGAAATTTTCCTATAATGAGCTCCATACTTTCCTCTCTCTCGTGGAAAAATTTCGAAATTTTCCCTTTGCCAGTTTTTCAGAAAAAAATTAAAATGCAAGAGGTGAATTTTTCTTAAATAAGTCAATTTTCTGGATTTTTTCCTGGAATCATTTTCTATTGGAAAATTTTGAAATTCTCCTATAATGAGCTCCATACTTTCCTCTCTCTCGTGGAGAAATTTCGAAATTTTCCCTTTGCCAGTTTTCCAGAAAAAAATTAAAATGCAAGAGGTGAATTTTTCTTAAATAAGTCCATTTTCCAGAATTTTTCCTGGAGTCATTTTTCATTGGAAAATTTTGAAATTTTCCTATAATGAGCTTTACACTTTCCTCTCTTTCCTGGAAAAATTTCAAAATTTACCCTTTGCCAGTTTTCCAGAAAAAAATTAAAATGCAAGAGGTGAATTTTCCTTAATTTTGCTTAAATAAGTCAATTTTCTGGATTTTTTGCTGGAGTCATTTTCTATTGAAAAATGTTGAAATTTTCCTATAATGAGCTCCATACTTTCCTCTCTCTCGTGGAAAAATTTCGAAATTTTCCCTTTGCCAGTTTTTCAGAAAAAAATTAAAATGCAAGAGGTGAATTTTTCTTAAATAAGTCAATTTTCTGGATTTTTTCCTGGAATCATTTTCTATTGGAAAATTTTGAAATTCTCCTATAATAAGCTCCATACTTTCCTCTCTCTCGTGGAAAAATTTCGAAATTTTCCCTTTGCCAGTTTTCCAGAAAAAAGTTAAAATGCAAGAGGCGAATTTTTCTTAAATAAGTCCATTTTCCAGAATTTTTCCAGGAGTCATTTTTCATTGGAAAATTTTAAAATTTTCCTATAATGAGCTTTACACTTTCCTCTCTTTCCTGAAAAAATTTCAAAATTTACCCTTTGCCAGTTTTCCAGAAAAAAATTAAAATGCAAGAGGTGAATTTTCCTTAATTTTGCTTAAATAAGTCAATTTTCTGGATTTTTTCCTGGAGTCATTTTTTATTGGAAAATTTTGAAATTTTCTTATAATGAGCTCCATACTTTCCTCTCTCTCGTGGAAAAATTTTGAAATTTTCCCTTTGCCAGTTTTCCAAAAAAAAAAAATGCAAGAGGTGAATTTTCCTTAATTTTGCTTAAATAAGTCAATTTTCTGGATTTTTTCATGGAGTCATTTTCTATTGGAAAATGTTGAAATTTTCCTATAATGAGCTCCATACTTTCCTCTCTCTCGTGGAAAAATTTCGAAATTTTCCCTTCGCCAGTTTTCCGGAAAAAAATTAAAATGCAAGAGGTGTATTTTTCTTAAATAAGTCCATATACCAGAATTTTTCCTGGAGTCATTTTTCATTGGAAAATTTTGAAATTTTTCTATAATGAGCTTTACACTTTCCTCTCTTTCCTGGCAAAATTTCAAAATTTACCCTTTGCCAGTTTTGTAGAAAAAAATTAAAATGCAAGAGGTGAATTTTCCTCAATATTGCTTAAATAAGTCAATTTTCTGGATTTTTTTCTGGAGTCATTTTCTATTGGAAAATGTTGAAATTTTCCTATAATGAGCTCCATACTTTCCTCTCTCTCGTGGAAAAATTTCAAAATTTTCCCTTCCCAAGTTTTCCAGAAAAAAATTAAAATGCAAGAGGCGAATTTTTCTTAAATAAGTCCATCTTCCAGAATTTTTCCTGGAGTCATTTTTCATTGGAAAATTTTGAAATTTTCCTATAATGAGCTTTACACTTTTCTCTCTTTCCTGGAAAAATTTCAAAATTTACCTTTTGCCAGTTTTCTAGAAAAAAGTTAAAATGCAAGAGGTGAATTTTCCTTAATTTTGCTTAAATAAGTCAATTTTCTGGATTTTTTCCTGGAGTCATTTTCTATTGGAAAATTTTGAAATTTTCCTATAATGAGTTCCATACTTCCCTCTCTCTCGTGGAAAAAATTCGAAATTTTCCCTTTGCCAGCTTTCCAGAAAAAAATTAAAATGCAAGAGGTGAATTTTCCTTAATTTTGCTTAAATAAGTCAATTTTCTGGATTTTTTCCTGGAGTCATTTTCTATTGGAAAATTTTGAAATTTTCCTATAATGAGCTTTACACTTTCCTCTTTTTCCTGGAAAAATTTCAAAATTTTCCCTTTGCCAGTTTTCCAGAAAAAAAATAAAATGCAAGAGGTAAATTTTTCTTAAATAAGTCAATTTTCCAGAATTTTTCCTGGAGTCATTTTTCATTGGAAAATTTTGAAATTTTCCCAGAATGAGCTTTACACTTTCTTCTTTTTCCTGGAAAAATTTCAAAATTTTCCCTTTGCCAGTTTTCCAGAAAAAAAATAAAATGCAAGAAGTAAATTTTTCTTAATTTTGTTTAAATAAGTAAATTTTCTGGAATTTTTCCTGGAGTCATTTCCAATTGGAAAATTTTGAAATTTTCCTATGATGAGCTCTACACTTTCCTCTTTTTCCTGAAAAATTTTCAAAATTTTCTCTTTGCTAGTTTTCCGGAAAAAAATTAATTTACAAGAGGCTTCATTTAATTTAAAAAACACTGGAAAAGTCTAGGAAAATCGGAAAATTAAGGGAAAAAAAGTTGGTTTCGGGACTTTTTGGGATCCCCTCTACAAAATGGCTATCTTGAAATTTCGAAACTTTGACTTCGATTTTTGGTCCTATGGTAATAACACAGGTGACGCTGGAAAATGACAAAAATCCAAACTTCAACTGGTTGTAGCTTCGTAACGGTAAGTCCTAGAGGAAAACCGTTCATGGCTACATTGTAGAGCTCATCGAGATCTACAAAAAAGCTTAGTCAGTTTTCCCTTTAGGACTTATAGTTTTCCAGATATTCCACTTGGAAATTTTAAAATCGATTTTTTTTCGGCCAAAAAATCAAAGTCAAAATTTCCCGGATTTTCTTTCACTACGTCATAGAAGACGTCCAGAGAAATGTCGGAACCCACTTTTCCCCCCTTAACTTTCAGTTTTTCCAGGAGTTTTTGCTTGGTCCTTTTAGATGTTTTCCCATGCAAGAAATGAAAAATCGAAATTTCGAGAAAACAAAAATTGTGCTGTATAGAGGACGGAAAAACAAGCAGAAAACCTCTCTGGCATTTTCCCGTAGGACATCGTCTAAGCCTGGAAAAAAAATAAAATAGAAAATTATTAGGAAAACTTTTCCCAGCCTGACATGGTCTTATTAAATGAGCCATAACTCTGGAACGCCTGAACCGATTTCAATGAATCATGTTTCATTTGATAGAGGATTAAATTGTCTACAAAATTGCTTCTTCAGAGTTTCTAGAATCTTACTGTTTTCAAGTTATACGCCTTCAAAGTTAAAATCTTTTCAACAATTAGCCTTAGCTTTGTTTCAACTTCCAGGACAACTCCTAGTAGTGCAGGTTTATAGTCCTCCACAGGAATAAGAATTGCTGAAAATTTCAGCAGGTACATAAATATGGCGAAAATAATCAAGTCACACATAAAAACCTTTTCATGATTAAGTGTAATACAAAATAAAGTTTGTCCCACTCTAATCGGATTAATTTCATTATGATATTGCTTCTCCCTAGCGCTGGCGACTAAAGGCGATTAGGAAATTTCGTTTTCTCTCCTGGAAAAGTGATTAATTTCATCCTGGAAACCTAAAGCTTTGTGAAAAGATCCAGCTGTTTGGCTTTCTCCATAATAATTTGTCGATTCTTGACTGCGTCAGGGGAATATTTCACTAATCGTTTCAAGTTTCAATTCCTTGTGCAAAAATGAAACATAAAACATCCACTGACTAATATTAAAATTAAGATGTAGTCGAAAACGATCTCGCAAAGCGAAAGATATAAATTTTAATTTCCTTTTTCTTTAAGGCCATTATGATCCTGCTGGGTGGGTATCTGGTTAGACTTTTAAATCGGGTAATTAGAGCCGACATCTGATGGCAGGAGCGCGAAGAAAAAGTATTAAACTTTTCAAATTATTTTCGACTCAAAATAAAGTAGACTGTCAAGAGATGAAAATTAATTTATTCAATAAAACTAACATGCTATTTTAGACTAGTGGTGGGTTGGTCCCCAAACACCTGCACCATTAATGGCACCAGAAGGTCCAACAATCGAAGCTCCAACGGTTGGGGGTCCACTGACGATGGCACCGTGTCCACTTACACCGATAGATCCACCTCCGTTAGTGATTACTCCTGAAAAAGCAATACAATAAGCTCAAATTTAAACTTTGAATACTAAAATCTTACCAGCGCTCAGAGCAGGAGCAACGAGAGCTGAGGTACCGAGAACGGGAGCAGTTAGAGCAACATTTCCAGCGATGGCTGGTCCAACTCCGATCAATCCAGGAGAAGCGAGTCCGGCGGAAATAGCTCCGGCGTCGCTAGGACCTACGGCGATCGAACCAGCTGATACTGGACCTGCGGAAATTGCTCCTGCTGATGCTGGACCTGCGGAAATGGCTCCGGCTGATACTGGACCAGCAGCGATTGATCCTAAACCACAATTCAAATGAACTGCCAACCAATCACTTTTGGAAAGTTACCTGTTGCCACAGCAGGTGCCAGAACAGCTCCAGTTGATACTCCAGGTGCCAAAACAGCTCCAGTTGATACTCCGGGTGCAACAACAGCTCCGGTTGAGATTCCGGGTGCCAATACTGCTCCGGTCGAGATGCCAGGTGCCAATAGTGCTCCAGAGGCGATACCGCCTATACCGACACCTCCTAATCCAAGACCGCCCAATCCGATGCCGCCAGGTTTGGCCAAGGCCACTGCAAAGGTGCAGACGGTGACAAAGATCTAAGAAAAAAAAAATGGTTGGTATGTGGCTGATTCTTAAGTCCCGAAATTAATCACTCAAACCGATCTATTCCAAACCTACCTTTATACCAACTGCTAGAAAACAGGTACAATATTTGTTAGTGGCTTTGTGAAAAAGTGGCAAGTGACTAATGAGGTGAGTTGTTCAGATCACAGACACATTAGCTTTAAAATTACAGGACACAGTCCTAAAACTCCCGCAGAATAAAGTGGGAATTCTACCCAGGAAGACCACTGTAGACTGCTGCTACATCCGCCTACATGAACAACTGTCCTGCAATCAGGAGTAATTCCAACCAGGAATGTACCCTGGTGGAACTGGGAAAACAAGGAAAATTTTTAGCAAAGCAAATCGAACGGGAGAGTGGAACGAGTACCGTAAACCTCTGACTGAATATAACAACATTTAACGCACCTAGGTAAAACAGTAACGGCTCGGATTGTAAAGGGATGAGTGTTATCACCCCTGCTGTGGAATCTAGTGATGAACTGACAACCATTTTCTAGTAACCCTATTGTCAGCAACCCTTTAATAACTCCCAAATTCTCTGCTAGGATGTTTCTGACAATTTCAATGCTGACAATATTGTATTACAAATTGGGAAATGAAGATCTACTATAGCTAAAACTGAATTGAAAGTTGAAAAAGTCACTTACCAATTTGTTCATGGTTGTTCTTTGGCGTTGCGACAAAAGCAAACAATGTGGTTTGTCAGGCAACTACCCTGTTTTTATATAGTGGGTATGTCACAGTCGTTTGGCCTTCGACTATTATTGCAGATTATGTATATGAAAAAATTTATTCGTTATATAATTGCAGGAAAGGAAAAATTTGAGGTGTTTTTTCCTTATTATTGTATATATTTTCAGAGCCAAAAATAGGATTTTCTTGTTATTTGTGTTTCTGCATAAAATGGTCATTTGAAAATGATGTCAAGGATGTTTTCTACTAATTTTGACCCGCTCTATCGATTGGTGAAGTCAAAATTGAGTAAAACTGAAAAATTAAAAAATCGAATTTTTCATAAGGGTAACCCCTTTGAATTCTGATTTTAAAATATTCAAACCTCAATTGCTCGGTAACTGTTGAGCAAATTGCATTGAACTTTTCAGCATTTGTAGCTCTTATCAAGCTCTAAAAGATCTGTAATTCACAATATTGCCAGGTTTATAGTTTTTGAGAAAATTGAGTTTGAAGTTTTTGACAAAATTTAGACTAAAAATCAACTTTGAGGCGCAATTGCTCATAAACTATTTGAGCAATCAATCTCAAGTTTGCAAGGATTTATAGAAAATTTAATGCTCTTTCGAATGGTCTATAATTTATTTCAATTTGCTTGAAATTTAACAAAGATATGGGCAATTGTTCATGACCATGTCAAGATTTTGAAAATTTTTCAGAATCAGAAATAGGATTTTCTTGTTATTTCTGTTTCTGCATAAAATGGCCATTTGAAAATGATGTCAAGGTTGTTTTCTACTAATTTTGACCCGCTCTATCGATTGGTGAAGTCAAAATTGAGTAAAACTGAAAACTAAAAAAATCGAATTTTTCATAAGGGTAACCCCTTTGAATTCTGATTTCAAAATATTCAAACCTCAATTGCTCGGTAACTTTTGAGCAAATTGCATTGAACTTTTCAGCATTTGTAGCTCTTATCAAGCTCTAAAAGATCTGTAATTCACAATATTGCCAGGTTTATAGTTTTTGAGAAAATTGAGTCAACTTTGAGGCGCAATTGCTCATAAACTATATAAGCAATCAACTGCAGGCAAGGATAAATTTGAGGTGTTTTTTCCTTGAAGAAGGAAGATTCTCATATAGGTACCTACCTACTTTACCAATAATAATTACCATCATGAATGCGGAATTATTAATAACATGATTTAATTGTTGTAACTTTTGCATTAGAAAATACGTATATAAAGGAGAAATTTGAAGGTCATGAAATGGTGCCATGCCCAACTTATAAATAAAATATGTATGCGTATATGTTTGAATTAAAATACTTACCGTGTAGTTTGTCCTTAGCCCTATAGAGTAGTAGAGTGAATCGGTTTGGTTCTTCCCTCGGGATCTGACCAGGCACTTTCGCAAAATAGACCGGCAGCCCGCAGGCTGCTTTTTCTTGTTCGGGATCAAATATTTAATTTGTTTTATGGAAACCGAGGGGTATATGGGTCTCAGTTATCGAGGCTCTATACGAAAGTTTTTTTCTTTTTTTTTTTATATTTGAGTTTCTATATATACAAAATTAATCAAAGCCTATAGTATGTAAAGTCAAACAATATATAAAAGTATTTATGCCATATACAGATAGATCTTTTTTTAAAGAGCCTTTTCGAAGAGAGTGACAGCAGCCAATAAACCAATCTCAAGAGAGTGGCTTCGGGTGTAAAGCGCGCACTCCAATTTCCTCCAGAGCAATAAGCAGTTTTACCATTTCAAGCCGAATTTATTTCTGTTCCGAAATACAGCTAGGAGCAGATATAAATCTTGTCGTTCCTATCTGGGGTTTCAATTACGTAAAAATCGCTTTAATCGAACCCTCCAGAATCCGATGTCGGTTCGATGAGGAAATTGCAATTATTACTCTCCCACTTTATCGTTTTTTTTATTTTTATTTGTCTTCTTTTTGTGTATTGGTCACTGTCTGCAGTTCAAGTAGCAGCATTTTTTGAATAGGAAGATTGTCAATCTACTTCCACAACTGTAACAAGATTCTCAATACGGTAGAATTTCCTTTGTTTTCGCTATCTATTTTTATGTATTCCCTTCCCTTTGTATTCTCATGTATTCATTATGTGTTCATATGTAGGTATTCTTATTAGTGATGGGATTTGGGTGTTCGCTTTTTTCATTGGTATTTACCCCTAATGGACAAATAAATAGGTTTGGAAAATGAGGTTTTTTATACAGGGTGTCCTCGTTCAACTGGTCAAAAATGCTAGAGTAGGTATATAGAGGAACCATAGAGAAGTAGAAAAATCTGTATTAAAAACGCTTTTAGTGATTTTAATGAAATTTTTAGGATTTAAATGATAGGTGGTGATGCAATTTGAACTAAAAGTCAACTTTGAGGCTCAATTGCTCAAAAAATATTCAAACTATTGAACTCAATTTTATACGGATTTATAGAGAATTTAATGCTCTTTCTAATGGTGTATAATTTATTTCAATTTACTCAAAAGATATGGGCAATTGTTCATGACCATGTCAAGATTTTGACAATTTTCCAGAGTCAAAAATAGGTTTTTCTTTTTATTTTTGTTTCTGTTTAAAATGGCCATTTAGAATTGATGTCGGGGTTGTTTTTCACTAATTTTTACCTGCTCTATCGATTAATGAAGTCAAAATTGCGAAAAATTTCAAAATAAAAAAAATGAGTTTTTCATAAGGGTACCCCCTTTGAATTCTAATTTCAAAATATTCAAATCTCAATTGCTCGGTAACCGTAGAGCAAATTACATTAAAATTTTCAGCATTTGTAGCTCTTATCAAGCTCTAAATGGCTTGTAATTTACAATATTCCCAGATTTATAGTTTTTGAGCAAATTGACTTTGAAGTTTTTGACAAAATTTGGACTATAAGTCAACTTTGAGGCTCAGTTGCTCAGAAACTGTTTGAGCTATCAAACTCAATTTTAGACAGATTTATAGAGAATTTAATGCTCTTTCCAATGGTATTAATTCAATTTGCTTAAGATTTACCAAAGATATGGGCAATTGTTCATGACCATGTCAAGATTTTGAAAATTTTCCAGAGTCAAAAATAGGTTTTCCTTTTTATTTTTGTTTCTGTTTAAAATAGCCATTTGGAAATGACGTCAGGGTTATTTTCCATTAAGGTTGACCCACTCTATTGATTAATAATGTCAAAATTGAGTAAAACTGAAAAATTTAAAAATCGATTTTTTCATAAGGGTAACCCCTTTGAATTCTGATTTCAAAATATTCAAATCTCAATTGCTCGGTAACCGTTAAGCAAATTACATTGAAATTTTCAGCATTTGTAGCTCTTATCAAGCTCTAAATGACTTGTAATTTACAATATTCCCAGATTTATAGTTTTTGAGCAAATTGAGTTTGAAGTTTTTGACAAAATTTGGACTAAAAGTCAACTTTGAGGCTCAGTTGCTCAGAAACTGTTTGAGCTATCAAACTCAATTTTAGACAGATTTATAGAGAATTTAATGCTCTTTCCAACGGTATATAATTAAATTACTTAATTTGCTTAAGATTTACCAAAGATATGGGCAATTGTTCATGACCATGTCAAGATTTTGAAAATTTTCCAGAGTCAAAAATAGGTTTTCTTTTGTATTTTTGTTTCTGTTTAAAATAGCCATTTGGAAATGACGTCAGGATTATTTTCCACTAAGTTTGACCCACTCTATTGATTAATAAAGTCAAAATTGAGTAAAACTGAAAAATAAAAAATCGATTTTTTCATAAGGGTTGAATTCTGATTTCAAAATATTCAAATCTCAATTGCTCGAAAACCGTTGAGCAAATTACATTGAAATTTTCAGCATTTGTAGCTCTTATCAAGCTCTAAATGGCTTGTAATTTACAATATTCCCAGATTTATAGTTTTTGAGCAAATTCACTTTGAAGTTTTTGACAAAATTTGGACTATAAGTCAACTTTGAGGCTCAGTTGCTCAGAAACTGTTTGAGCTATCAAACTCAATTTTAGACTGATTTATAGAGAATTTAATGCTCTTTCCAATGATATATAATTTAATTCAATTTGCTCAAGATTTACCAAAGATATGGGCAATTGTTCATGACCATGTCAAGATTTTGAAAATTTTCCAGAGTCAAAAATAGGTTTTCCTTTGTATTTTTGTTTCTGTTTAAAATAGCCATTTGGAAATGACGTCAGGGTTATTTTCCACTAATTTTGACCCACTCTATTGATTAATAAAGTCAAAATTGAGTAAAACTGAAAAATTTAAAAATCGATTTTTTCATAAGGGTAACCCCTTTGAATTCTGATTTCAAAATATTCAAATCTCAATTGCTCGGTAACCGTTGAGCAAATTACATTAAAATTTTCAGCATTTGTAGCTCTTATCAAGCTCTAAATGGCTTGTAATTTATAATATTCCCAGATTTATAGTTTTTGAGCAAATTGAGTTTGAAGTTTTTGACAAAATTTGGACTAAAAGTCAACTTTGAGGCTCAGTTGCTCAGAAACTGTTCGAGCTATCAAACTCAATTTTCCATGAATTTATAGAGAATTTAATGCTCTTTCCAATGGTATATAATTTAATTTAATTTGCTCAAAATTTACCAACGATATGTGCAATAGTTCATGACCATGTCAAGATTTTGAAAATTTTCCAGAGTCAAAAATAGGTTTTTCTTTGTATTTTTGTTTCTGTTTAAAATAGCCATTTGGAAATGACGTCAGGGTTATTTTCCACTAATTTTGACCCACTCTATTGATTAATAAAGTCAAAATTGAGCAAAACTAAAAAATTCAAAAATCGAATTTTTCATAAGGGTAACCCCTTTGAATTCTGATTTCAAAATATTCAAATCTCAATTGCTTGGTAACCGTTGAGCAAATTACATTAAAATTTTCAGCATTTGTAGCTCTTATCAAGCTCTAAATGGCTTGTAATTTACAATATTCCCAGATTTGTAGTTTTTGAGCAAATTGACTTTGAAGTTTTTGACAAAATTTGGACTATAAGTCAACTTTGAGGCTCAGTTGCTCAGAAACTGTTTGAGCTATCAAACTCAATTTTAGACAGATTTATA